CTAAGAAAGGTTCTGGATTGGTCGAGAAAAGAGAACCTGAAGCAGAATTCCAAAAGTGTGAATTACTCCGTCAAGAGGTGAATATCTTGGGACACATAGGCAGAAGAGAAGGAGTGTCTACATATCCATTGAAGATTAACTCAGTCCAGAATTGGCCAACATCAAAGAACCCATGTGACGTAAGAGGATTTATTATTCTCTACTCAAACTACTTGAGAAGCTAAACAAGTTTTGTTGAACTGATTATTATGAACAAGCAAAAGAAATTGACTGCTAATCCCATATTGGCATACCAACTCTGGATGAGTTTTTGTGGTTTAAACAGTTTTGTCACAAGTACAATACAGAAAAGAACATGTGATTGCCTACTATAAATGCCACAATGGCTATTTTTGAGTTGTAGAATACTTCCTTTTTAAGTGTTGTTTGAGCCTTGAGTCACTTTTATCATTATCTATAGGAGCAAAAGTCTATGCTCTGGACATATCATGCAGCACTGAATTAGCTAGTGAATTTTCGTAATCCAGAAAGATAAGTAACGGGATAGCTCCATAAACTCCAGGAGTGCAACTTTAACATTTTATGTCACCCTGGAGGGAACTGTAGAAAGGTTGAAACATTTGCGTGAATACCACGTGTAAATGATGAGAGTAAACAATGTGAGAAAAGGGGTCACAAAACAGAAAAGACCACCAACCTAAAATATATCACTGTGTAGTCCCAGTTGTGGCATCTACCAGTGATGATGAAGAACTGATGTGGCCCAATCCCACTAGAAGCTGTTCATGCAAAGATACGAGTTTGAAACTAATTTTTCGTTGACTCAAGAATTGTGCAGAAATTACTCTCACGCCAAACATTCACCCCATACAAAGATGTATTGGACACGTAGGATACCTTATGCTTATAAGAGGGCTTATTATGTTGGAAATAGATAGATACCAGTGAACAGAAACAATGATTACAGTTAGGACTTCTCTGGTGTCTACATTCTGTAATAATTCATTATCTCCACAGTCTCTCAACAGCTGGGCACACGAGTATTAAGAAGACACTGCAGTGAGCAAGAGAATTCTCTACTAAGTTGGGTGCTGGAGGTCTGTGAAAAATTAATGTAAAACATCTTAACTCTGCTGTGAGTGGAAAAGTACACGAAAGAAACAGCATGGATAGCGACAGTGCTGGATCAATACTGCTGTGCTTGGCCCTCTTCCACAGAATAACAGTGGGGATAGATACATCGGGATTGTGATGGCTCAATACTGGAGAGAGTTGCTGTGCTTGGCCCTCTTCCACAGAATAACAGTGGGAATAGATACATCGGGATTGTGATGGATCAATACTGGAGAGAGTTGCTGTGCTTGGCCCCCTTCCACAGAATAACAGTGGGAATAAATACATCGGAATTGTGATGGACTATTTCATCAAAAGAGTAGAAGCATATGTTTGTTTGTTTGTTTTGGAATTTCGCGCAAAGCTACACGA